TGTTACACTTCAGCTTCATACATCAGTAAGGTGCGATATTTCTTTTGATGACTCAGCTTCAAACTTTAATTCTGTACAATATTGGCAAGAACACGTAAATAGCTTAACACCTCAAATCCGGTTTTCATGGTTTCTGTCATGTCGTTTTAGCGAATGTATACGTATCTAGCGAGTTGGTAGCAGAGCTCTGGACGATCACTGCTCATGAGAGCATGTAGGTAAGATGGTTGACAATGACCTCGTTTATACAGCATTTTTCGCAGACCGAAGGCGTGCATGCGGCCTAATCGGAAATATGCGTTCGGCAGCTTTTTGTTTCATGAATATTGCGCCAAACAGACACATATTACTTTCTACGAGTTTCGTTTCACCTATTTTGGACTTCCTTCGCCACGGTAATCTTCGACCAATCCTCGCTTAGAAAGGGAATGGAAACCTGTTCCCATGGGTTTGTGGAGCCAGGACCGCAGGACCGCGTCAAACATCACCGAACGAACCATGGGCATATACATACAGCCCGTCTCGTGTAAGTCTTTTTGAACTGATATCGTCATTCCATGCCCAAATTATGTCGTAAAGTAATGGGCTGTATTCAACACGAGCGTTCTCGATCGTTCCAACGCACGTGTTGTACGCAAACACACATTTGGCGATTTCTAGATGATTTTTTGCTGGCAATCACCGTGGTCTACCGAGCAACATATCGAATCTAACATGCGGGGCATAATAAACGGGGCTAACATGCCGCCAGTCAAATATATATATATATATATATATATATATATATATATATATATATATATATATACCTATTCCGTTCATTGAACGCAAGGTCCTTGCTCACTGGTCTCGGATTAAGCTTTTGGCATTCATTCCCGACGGTCTTAAGCTATGTGGCATGAAAATTGTTCATGACAGAGCTCCGTTTAAGCTCCAGATATGACCTCTTCTGTCCTGAAATTGACTGGCTCAGATCATTCTTTCAAGGAAACCGTTCACATTTCAATCATTAATACATAAATGAGGGGCTTCTTGGATGTACGATAATTCAAAGTCCGCACTGTTCATGAAGTCTTAAGACTAAATCAATATTTTGTGTTGTTTTTTGACAAACAGTCGAGACAAATGAAACATGAAGCTTGTGGACGTACTTCAAGTGTAGGTTTAGCGTTTCTGTCCTCAAGAGTCATATTAGCACACTATTCCACTATTGCATATTTCGTCAAGTTTTAGACAAGCTTCCCAAATGCTTTGTCTACGCGGTCATTTATGAATATTGTTATGCTTTGTGTGGAGCATCATACGTGGGCTCCACGTCTTGCTTAGCCAGCACTGCAGAGTACAGCAGCATTCGCAAGGTCTCACCTTTCAGGTAACATTCCTTCCAACCCAAACCCTTCGCTCATCCGAACCCAGTCATTCACGCGTGCGCTTGCTTTAACATTCACAAGTGCTCCGGATTAGGGAAATGCAGCAATTCCTCGATCTTAGGACTTTGAACCATTTTGTGTTACCGAAAGGAGACACCATTGTAGATCATGAGTTATGCATATTCCCCCTGCGGGTTTATAAGATAACGTTTTTCTCATACGGAGTCTAAAGGGAGGTCTCGCAGCGTTATTTTTTTTTCAAGCTGGCCTGTTTGCGTGTAGATAAGTGGTATTCGTGTTGCAGTGTGTTGTTCATGACCATACTTCCATGCCATGAGCGATACCGGTGATCTAACCTAGCGATATTGGCAACTGTATCTTTCCACTGCGTAAGAATGTGTTCTGATGACGGCTGTATCAAAATGTTGACGGATTTGCGAGGATTCCGAGGACTCCGATATACCCGAGGATCTTCCATATGTTATATATATATTATATATATATATATAATATATATATATATATATATATTATATATAGGCGCGCGCGCAGTGATCAACAATGATCTCTCTGCGTCGTAAAAGCTTGTCATAGTAAATAAATAAACAAATCAATAAATATATATATATATATATTATATATATAATATATAATATATAGTATATTTCAATGCATGACACAATATAATAACGTATGATACAAATAGAGGAACTTCGTCAAAACGTTAGTTGGTCATGCACACGCCTGTTGACTGCTTGCTTAAGCTTGCTCCCCGCCTTTGTATCGAAGTAGCTCAAGTACTTAAGTGCTAGTACGATGTTGCTCTTTGGTATGACCCGTCCATACCGTTTCTGAGTCCATTTCTAATTCAACGCGCGTGGTCAGTGTCGCCGAGGGACTTGGTTCAATGCTGAATGCAGTGTATGTACTACGTCACCGCGGGACTTGTTCAATGCTGAATGCAGTGTTTATGTACTACGTCACCGCGGGACTTGGTTCAATGCTGAATGCAGTGTTGTACTACGTTCACCGCGGGGACTTGGTTCAATGCTGAATGCAGTGTATGTACTGCCAGCCGACGGTGCTCTTTGACTTGGGGGGGAAGCAGTCTGGAAGGCAGCGGTGTTTCGCTCAGGCTTGCTCACATCTGGAAAAACAGCGTTCTATTTTTGTTCACGCGTCATTAAGGTAACTCCCAATGGATGACATGCCACGTGAGGTGCAAACAACTGCTGAATTGTTTTGTAAGCAAGCCTCAGCCTATCGATGCATCTGAGCGAAAACAGGGTCTTCAAGTAATAGAAGCTGAAGGGGGCGGCATGCACACAGTAATTGGTCTTCGAACTTAGGACTTTCTGCTACGGTCACACCACCACTTCTTTACTACTTTATGGTCACTTTAATATGTAAATGCAACTAAGAGTGACTACTGGGACGAGAGTGCAAAGTGACCACGTCTAGCAAACTGCTCGATTTCTCGCGAAGATTGCTCACACAAGTGTTGCCTGTCAGTTTTTTAAGTGGCTTAACGCGTGTGAAGCGGTCAAGTTTACGAGCTAGTCAACTAGTAAACAGTAGCTTAGTCTTTCTCGGACCACGCACCCGTAAGAACCTGGGGTTAATTTGACCTGAGATTTGTATGAAAGTGCGTACTGTGCCATGCGGTGTCGGCTTCCGATGCCTCGTTAGGTAGTGTGTCTGTGCAGGAATGGAGAGAAGACTCGGTGTTGACTGCGAGAGCAGACAGCTTGTTTGCTCGTGCCTTTCCGCTGTTCAGCTGCATGAGGCTTGCAACCCACACCGTGGTAAACTCGCCTGGACCCAGCCCGGATTGTTTGCTTATAAAAGGCGGTCTTTTTCGGTTCGTTATTGCATTGGCCAGAGGGTACGATCTGCCCTGAACGCCAGACATTATGCCTACATCGAGTCATTCTCCGCCTTGAGGACAGGCTGTTGCCGGCCAAAGCTGTAAATATCGTCCCGAAATGGCCGATAAAGCTGGCTGTGTAGCGCGGCTGTGTCCTTTCACCTCCAGCCTGCTGTTTGTTTCTTTCCATTGGGCACAAGCCGGAAAGATATGTGGGGCCAACTCGCGGTTTTTATGTGATGTCGGTCGTTTTGGCGCATGTTTTTCTGAAGCGTGTTGTCTGGAGAAGCTGCTGTCGACAGAACGTAAGCCTGAGTTGAGACGGCATGTATTTTGTGCGTGCGAAAAATCATAAGTGACTGATGCACATGCCCAGGGGTATTTATGTGTGACCACGCTTCAAGGTTGTGTGAAACAGCATATGTTCTCGATAGTCTCAGCTAGCGACTAACAGTACGATACTGTCGAATGTGGAAGGATATTAAGATGAAAGCCAAGAGCTCATGCGTGGGAAGGTATTCAGCTTTAGACTACTTCCCTCTACTAGTGAGATCCATAGTTCAAACATGGATCATTCGTGTCGTCCGGCGTTTGATGCATCCATGCCAATGCCAAGTGTTTTCCCAATAAATTCGGTTTTATACGAGAGAACTGTACATGCTCGCCTGCCGTTGCCGTTATCGGGCTCGTGAAGGGGTTGTGTTGTCTTTAAGGGGTTGTTCTCACTACATTCCGAAGCGTCCTTATAACACCCATGCGCTTTTGGCGCCGTTGTGGAAGATGTAGCTGAGTAAAGTGCAGTAAAGTCCCTAAATTTGCCATCGACCTAGATCGCACGGCCTGGTGAGTATATATTCGGGTTTGTTTTATATGTCGCGAAAATCTGACGGTCGTGGGCCTCCACAAGGCTACTTAGGTCCTTGAATTAGTCTCTTAGTCTTGAATTTGAATTAGTCTTGAATTGAATTAGTCTTAGAAAAAGCAGAAAAGGAATCAGGAGCGTTTATTGCGTGTCATGTAATGT